CCATCCATCCATCCATCCATCCATCCATCCATCCATCCATCCATCCATCACATTTATATGGCTGCCCATCTCACAAAAAGCGATTGAGTGACATACAACAATCAGTAAAACAACAATTATATATACTGTGTATGTATATATACATATATATATATATATATATATATATAAAACAATCATTATAAAAATATAAAAAGTCATTACTAAAAATGAAAAACGCTATTAAAAAATTAAAACATACAAGCCATGTGGAGAGAGTGAAAAGATCAAGCACAGTGGAGCCATCCAAGAATGTCGCCACCCCACTGGGACCCCCAGGGCTGATGACACAGCCATGTCTTGAGGCACTTACAGAACATTAGCAGGGATGGAGCTAACCTCTCTTCAGGTGGGGGGGATGTTCCATAAGGCAGGTGCCACAGCAGAGAAGGCCCACCTCCTGGGACCCACCAAGAGTGAGTCCCTAGCAGATGGGACCTGTATAACATGCCTCTCTTGCCGGATCTGATGGGATGGGCAGATCAAATTGGGGAGAGGCGGTCCCTCAGATAACCTGGTCCCAGGCCATGGAGGGCTTTAAAGGTCAAAACCAGCACCTTGAATTGGACCCGGAAGCAGACTAGCAACCAATGCAGCCCGTGGAGCAGACTCATAACATGCTGTTCTAGAGGCACCCATAACTGCCTGTGCTGCTGCATTTTGTGTCAGCTGAAGTTTTCAGATACTCTTCAAGGACAGCCCCATGTAGAGCACGTTACAGTAGTCCAAGCGGGAGGTAACTAGGACATGAGTGATTGTGAGCAGAGCCCTCCCCCCACTGATCCAGGAACGGACGCAACCGTCACACAACACAAAGCTGTGCAAAAGCCCTCCTAGCCATAACTGCCACCTACTCTTTGAGCAGGAGTTGCGACTCCAGGAAGACCCCCAGATTGCACACCAGGTCTGTCTGGGGCAGTGGACCCCATTGAATACGAAAGATGGCATAGTCCTGGAACTGGCAGGACCCAAAACCCAAAGCCACTCAGTCTTGCCAGGGTTCAGCTGAAGCCTGTTGTTCCCCATCTAGATCCTCACAGCCTCCAGGCACCGGGATAAGATGTTCATGGCACTTTTTAATACACCAGGAGCAGAGATATATAGCTGGGTATCATCAGCGTACTGATGATACCTCACCCCATGGCAATGGATGGGCTCACCCAGCAGCCTCATGTAGATGTTAAATAGGAGCGGAGAGAGCACCAAACCCTGTAGCACCCCACATCGTAGGGGACGAGGACGGGATCTCTCCTCCCCAATCACCACTGGCTGGAATCAACCCTGGAGAAAGGAGGCGAACCAGTGCAACATTGTGCCGCCCACCCCCAATCCTCTGAGCCAATCCAGAAGGATACCATGGTTGCTGGTATCAAAAGCCCTTGAGAGGTCAAGTAGGGCAAGATGGATGCACAACCCCCATCCCGCCCACGCCAGACAGAAACACAACCAATGCCGTTTCTGTCTCAATGCAGTTAAGACTTGTGTGGGATTGATCATTCAGTTTCAAATATTGTTCGGTTCAATGCTGGAACCCAAACTTTAATTTTGCAGTTAGTCTGCACTCTGTAGCAATTTTGAATCCTGGGACTTTTGATTCATGTTTCTAGAACAATGCTGTTCAAGTCAGGGTTAGGTTCTTGGGGTCAACAGTGACTCTGCTTGGAGTAGGACCTAGGGCAATCTGGACATTAAAGTTTGCCTGCCATGTATGTTTCTAATAAAAGGATATTGTCTGATCAGAGATTCAGGCTATTTTTCCTATGGATAAACATATATACATACATTCGTCTTTGTTGAGCTGATGTCAAGATTTGGAACACGCTTTTGGCAGAGACCACCCAGGCTTCCTCATATATCAGTTAAAGATGACATTTTTTGACAATCTATTGACCTAAGGTCTCCTTCGCCCTGAAATTCAGACCTGGTATTTTTACAGTTTATATTTGCACTGCTTCATTTTTGGTTTCTTTGGCATTCAAAATGATTTTGCCATTCTGAATGCCAAAGAATAAAAAAAGAACAGGACGGAAATGTATAAACAAAGGAATTAGTACGCCTAATTTAAATAATCTATGAAGTGTTTACGGCAGATGTATGGCATTCGCTAGGCACTGAATACTCTTCCTTTCTAGCTACTCTTTTCCCTTAAACTGATTCCCGCCACCTGAGCCTGATTCTGTATTTGTACATCCTAGAGATTCACAAGCCAATACACGACATGACATGATTTTATATCTGTGCATTGTACATAGCCAACTATTCTAGTTTGTGAAGGTTGCTCCAAGGATATAAGTCTGCTTGTTCAGTGAACCATCTTAAGCAACCAGCAGCTGAGTGCATGGCATGGCTTTCAAATAAAATGTCACAAATCAATGTTGAGAGTCTAGGATATTCCATCATATTTCTTTGTATGTTGCACCATCTGGTGGCATCTTCAGTTATGACATTTCTTCTGCCATGTTTTCATCCATGCTGCTATGTCAGTGTAAAAAAAAAAAAATGTTAGTGGTGAAATCGGAGGGATTTAAAGTACAAGAAAGAAATTCCTTATTTATTTATCCATTTCAGCCTGCCTTTCCTCTAGCTGCTCAAACCTATTCACACAGGCATCTCTCCCCATCTTATCTCCTCAACAGCAGCCTGTAAGGACGGTTAGGATTAAAGAGAGTGAATGGGCCCTACCTCTTCCAAAGAGTAATTTATTTATTTATTTTATTTTTATTTATTGGATTTCTCCCCGGCCCATCTCCCCCACAATAGGGGACTCTGGGCGAC